GTCTTCCTGTGGCTAGGTTGTTTTTAACTTTTTCTTTGTTACGTTTATAGATAAACAAGTCTCACAGTGCCAGTTTATTTTTAAATACTTAATAAAAATCAAAAAGAAACATTTCTTCATTCCTTATCTGAAACTTGAAATTGGTAACTGTGGGAAGACTGAAGGAGAATTTCAAATTTAGATGATATTAACGTACATTTTTTAAGGCTAAGACGATATTTTTCTAGTGCGTCATATATATATGTTGAATAAAACTTGGTTATCATTGCAAATATTTCTTTATGACAGTGGTAGGTGTGGTTCAGAAACAAATTAAATGGTTTTGAAAACTCAAGTTAATGAAATTGTGGTATTAAGTGTTATGTTTGACACGTCTTATTACTTGAAAGTAAGTATGGTGAGCTGCTGGGTGTAAATTACAGTATATTTCGATACAAAATAAGTGCTTCTAAACGTATTTGAATCTGTATTCTACCTCTTCTTCGTATGTTAAAAGAATTGGTGAATTCAAAGAGTTTTGTAACAAATATCTGAAATAAATAGTCTTCACTCCACTTTTAGAGGGTAAAAAAAGTTATGATTTCATGTAAGTCTCGTTTATGAACAAAAATTTCTTTACAGAAGGAAAAAAAAAATACCCTTAGTTGAATAAAGAAAAGTCTATAACATGCTTTTGAAAATGTCAATGGGAATTAATTGTTGCATTCCCTTATTGTCAAAAGATGGCAGCACTTTTTGAATGGGCACTTGAACACAGTGAAGAAATATATTGTTACGATAGATATATTCCTTACCATCTTTTATTGCCTTTCACACCCTTCAGAAACAAACAAAAAAGTAAATCAAGTCAATTCTTATACGGGTAAAACAAAATAAAAGTTTTTAAAAGTTACACAATGTTGTCATCAGCAGGAAAAATGCATTCCATACATATTTCCAACCCCTTAATTCATAAACATTAACTGTCATCAGCAGGAAAAATGCATTCAGTACATATATACACCCCCTTAATTCATAAACGGATGAAAGAAGCGCCCACAAAAAAGAAAAGTCTTAATTTCAAACAATTTGGAACCATGTACAAAAATATTGTCGTTGTGACATCTTGATAAGAAAACAAAACAAATCGCCACTAATTCAAAGAAAGTGAAAATCAAAAGAAAAAGGTAAAATAAATTTTGATCATTTATAATTTCGCTCTATTATCTGATAAAGTTTTAATCATTCTATAATTGCTTTATTGTATATATCGAGTGTTTTGTTTTACTAAATATCTGTTTCCAGTTACAATGTCGAGTGTGGATCAACTTATATAACTTTATGAAAACTTGCTAGAATTTTAGAAAAGTTATTTATGATTCAAAAAATATAAACTCGTAGGTATGATCAATTCTTAGGCAAAGATAATATAACTACAAGAAAAAGTCAAAAGGGCAAACATTTTATACTGTCTTGAAAAGCACACCTGAAAACAACTCGAAAAATCAACATGTCACTTGCTACGTTAACCTTTCACATGCCCTGTTGCAAGAATACCGTTTCAGCACACATTTAGTATGTGTTACTCACGCTGGAAGAACAATATCTTCATATTGGACGCACATTTCATCAGTTGCTGTTTTCATGATCGGTTCAATTTTGGTTATTGTTTTGACTGACACAAAGACAAATGACAGTTTATTTTGGTATATCCAGGACCGTATTGAGAAGGCTGTATACGTACTATTAGACAACTGGTCTTTACAATACTATAGTGAGAGGATTGTATACGTACTATTAGACAACTGATCTTTACAGGACTGTAGTGAGAAGGCTGTATACGTACTATTAAACAACTGGTCTTTACAATACTATAATGAGAGGGTTGTATACGTACTATTAGACAACTGATCTTTACAGGACTGTAGTGAGAAGGCTGTATACGTACTATTAGACAACTGGTCTTTACAGGACTGTAGTGAGATGGTTGTATACGTACTACTAGACAACTGATCTATACAATACTATAGTGAGAGGGTTGTATACGTACTACTAGACAACTGATCTTTACAATACTATAGTGAGAAGGTTGTATACGTACTATTAGATAACTGGTCTTTACAGGATTGTAGTGAGAAGGCTGTATACGTACTATTAGACAACTGATCTTTACAATACTATAGTGAGAGGGTTGTACACGTACTATTCCTCAGTAGTTTCTTACTAAATTTGATTTATTTTCAGAGTCCTTCCTTTGGCCATAAACGTTTCAAATTTATTCAAGAAATATACTAGAAAAAGTCATATTTAGATAGCTGAATACTTAGTTCTAATCTGAATTACTGAATTAACAATGAGAAACATACTAAGTGTTTTCTTAGTAGCCCAGTAACCATTATAATATATCATTTAGAAACCGGTGGATTGAAAGCAATTCCCCTTTGAGCGCCTGCTCTGACTGTATAAATTATGACGTTCCGTGGATTATTTCAAGCGCTATGTTGTCAATGAAGAAATGATGCTCCTAATTTTTTTTTTTATATTGAGCTCAGATGTTTATTTAGTTGAAGAACACTTTGAAATATAAAATATCTTTAATTTTTTTTGTAAGTGCTAAATATCAATGCACTATGCCTGTAATCGTACAGCTATGGTAAATTTTATTCAGGCACACACCCCACCGGTGGCTGAACGGTACGGTACGTCTGAGGGCTTATCACACTAAAAATAGCGTTTCGATACCGCATTGAGAATATCACAGATATATTGACCATGGTGTAACTTTGCGCTTGTGAACAAACAAACCCTATTCATTCAGCCGTCATCCATACTCTTGAACGAAGTAGGTTTTTGACCTTAAAAACAATAGAAATCTCTTCTCTCTCTCTGTATATATGTATAAACCAGGAACAATATAATAAAATTTAAACTCAAAATTATGCCTCCGTTATCATTCCTTGTTGTCATCCTTAAGTCATAATGGATAATGATGACAACAAGGAATGATAACGGAGGCATAATTTTGAATTTCAATTTTATTATATTGTTCCTGGTTTATATCAAATTCATTATTGTAATGCATAGTATTAGGTATATTGATTTATTTATATCTATTATATATATAATATATGTATCTGTGTGTGTGTGTCTCAAGGTTAAGCAAATTTTATATGTAAGGCCTGTTCTTGTATTTTTTAGATGAGCTTGCAGTAAGCCAGAAGGCTTGTTTCTTATATTTCATGAGTTAAAGTCCAAATGGTGTAGTTCAATAAATTTAGCCAGTTAGGGATTGCCACATCTGCTATTAATGAGACTTTGTACTTACACAGCAAAACAAACAAAGAAAAAACATTCACGTGCTATTTGGATCATACTGTCTTTCACCTTGTTACCATCCCTTGGCAACGTCAGTCATCCATACATCTGTTTTTATTTGTCAGCAGGCAACTTAACGAATATGTTTATCTGATTTGAAATGTCGTGCAAGAAAGTAGTTATATAAACAGTAAAAGTAAAGTTTCGGTCGATTTGGGATCTGTAATGTAAACATGGCAACTACTCGTGATTAAGAAGGGAAACATATATTAAGTGTTATTGTGAACAAGCAACACGTCTTTCGTGAAGAAGTTTTCAGATTTCTGAGATTTATCAGTTCAGTTAACTTGATTAATTTTCAGTTCAAACTATTTAGTGTGCTTTTAGCCTTACATAAAGTATTTATTGGCACCAAACATGCCCGGAAGCTTACACTACTTGAACTAGTTTAATATTTTTTCACCACAAAGTGTATTGTGATTGTTCTTTTAATTTCAGAGAGAATGAATAAACAAATGACATGATTTGCATGAAAACTACTTATTATTAATTTTAAAATACTAGATAATAAATTAAAGTAATTTTGAAGCGTAAAATTGAAAGGTATAAGAAGAACTTAGAGTGTAGTTGCATAATACTGTCGTTTTGTTAAATGTAGAATAACACTGACTGATTTACGTCAATAAAATGCATCAAGTAACCACGATGAATATACACATTAATGAACAAAGGGTTCAAACATTATAGTAATTGAAATTTGAGCTAATTACGGAACAGTGTTCTAATAAAGATATTTTTGATAGGGCTCGAATAAAAGTACAACAACAAATTTGTCTAAAAGCCCATACTTTGTCAGATGATACTGGTAAAAAATTTAAAACGGGTTTAAAGGTTGTGACCTGAAATTTGGCTAATCCTTAGTACGAGGCAATGGGTTAAATATTTATTATGATTATAGAGGTTATGTTAATCAAACAGATTAATCTGTGTTGAATGTAACCAGGGTGTTGAATGGTTGTTATAGAAACATTTCCTTAGAGGACGTGGATGAAAGTCAATATTGAAACACATGAAGCTTATATTAACGTAACTCCTTTATTTATATATATATATAACCAAATCATTTTTACCTGACAAAACCTACAGACAGGTACGAGATGGATTCTAAAACTAAGTATTTCGATTATAGGTGATATCAAAATAAACATATTTCAAACACAGAAAAGGCCACGTACGATATAATAAAAGAAAAATTAAGACATTGTTAAACATACAGTTAGAAATAAAGCTCGCAAAAACTTCTACTTTTGTTCACGAGAAACCTTTCTCTCGTTATTACTACCATTATATTCTCTGGTTCATGGTACGAACCACCACGATCAATCATTGTAAGCTACATATTCTTGTGTTAGTAGAGTTACATCGGTAAACCCAAGACATGGTGAATTCTCTTGTAGACATAAACGAGTTTCTTTCCAGGAAATAGAAGTTCACCGATGAGTGGGTATTAAGTTCATATAATTATATGAAGCTATCTAAAAACTGAAGAATTCAATCTATTAGGCATATTTAACAAACATATTAGCTCGGTTTGAATAAGATTACTTCACTTCTTGAAAAAATACGGAATATTAAAAAGATAGAGCACAATATCATAAAAAATCAAATGTTCTTAATTACTATCTTATAAAATATTCAACCAGGTTTCAGTATTTGCACGCATCTGAATGACACTTGTGAGTGCGTCTGAGACACAGAGTAGTTGGGTGAAAGGACACGCCATCGAAGGCCCTAAATGCAGAGCTTGACCAGTCTATCAAGTTCCCATGTGATTCCAAATCACTTTGTCTTGTACATGAAGAAGAAGGAAGAATGGATATCTGATCCTCATCCAAAACCTCATCCCAAAGATGTAAATCTGCTAATTCTCCTTGTAATGTTTCTGTGACCTTAAAGCCTCCTCCCACTGAGTCTTGATCTGCACCTAAGACAACCATCCCACCAGGCCTAACTTCTTTATTCTTGGACACAAGTGTTGTGGTGTTGGAACACCGTTTTCCGTTAAGGTAAAAACTTACCGCCCCACTGTTAGCTGACCATGTCCACGTTATATGTTGCCAGAGGTCTGGAACAATTCCCGGGCACGTAACAACAGCTTCGTTACCACTTCCAGTGTGAACACGGAGCATTATATGAACTATACCCTTCTCAGACCTCATCCACGTAACTATTTCGTTATCATCGTCTGAACGGGCATATGAAAAGACGTTATTCGAGTAACCTTCAATTTGGTAAAACTTCACCCAGTAGGCTAAGGTCAATTCTCGAACAGTAGGTAAAGTCCCTATAAAAGTAAGACGTGGAATATTAGGTTGTTGATGAAAAAAACGGACTTTTGTGGTCAACATTGGTGATACCACACAAAAACAGGTAAGAAACAGCAGGTGGACAAAGGAAATCATCGTTTAGCTCCTCTTTACAAATAAAACTGTCAATTGAAGGATAGCCAACTAACGGATACTAATAATGTTAACCAAAGAATAATAACAATGTCAACTGAAGAATAGTAACAATGTTAATTAACTGAAGGATACTAACAATGTCAACCGAGTAATAGTAGCAATGCCAACTGAAGAATACTATCATGTGTTTCTTGGTGTTTTTAAATCCTGGGAAGGAAGAAACGTCCAATTACAGAGGTTTCTCTCTTCCTGTACTGTTGCTAAGTGCTTTTTTTTCTCATTCTTTTTTTGCTCTTAAATAAGCATAAAGTTCACTGTACAAATCACCATTAGGCCTCTTGACCTCATATTCTAACACTTATGCACCAACCTTCGAATTATATATAGAATCTTTTTTTATAAACGGAAAGCTGCAAAAATATTTGTAAGTCAGTTGTTTATAAAGTGACCAGCTTTCTTTCAAGTGTAATTTTAACCTTGTACTTCAACATGTACACGTGACCTTTCAAATGCATTGTATTTCAGCCTGTCAAATAATATTTCAAATACATTTTGTTTTAACTTGCTCACGTAACCTTTCAAACACATTGTATTCCAACATGTACATATAATCTTTCAAATACATTGTATTTCAACCTGTACACATAACCTTTCGAATACATTGTATTTTAATGTATACACATAGCCTTTCAAATATATTGTTACGTCTCTGTTCGTTAGTTAATTTTCCTTATAATTTCTTTCCGAAGAAACTTTACCGATACAAGTCCTTTCTTAAATAAAACTGGTTTATTCTTTCTAAATACAACTTTGCAATACACTTAATTTCCACAGTCACGCTATAATTCACAACGAACGACTCACGTGCTCGACTCAATCGTCAATCTCTGTTTACAGTTCAATTACATTGTTGCCGTCACTTCTTGGCATATCTAGTAACCTCTCGAGGCTTCACGAACCTTCGAGAATATGACGTGTTACCAGCCTTACATGACCCCCGCTGTCGTAACACTATTGTATGTTATTCACGTAATATTTAAAATATCTTTTGACCGTGTTTTGCAACTTGTACATGTAATCTTACAAATTTTCTACGTGTGCTTTATGGCATAAATTACCTAAATAAGAGTTCCATCATGTCTTTCCATCAAAAGCACCTAAAGGATACTGGCTAAAAATGACAAGTGAAGGATATTAATAATGCCAATTGGAAGATACTAACAGTGTCCACTGAAGGATAATGACAATGCCAGCAGAACGATATTAACAATGTTAACTGAAGGATAATAACAATGCCGAATGAAGGATACTTCAAACGTCAACTGATGAATACTACAAGTGTCAACTGAGAGGTAGCAACAACGTCAACTAAAGAATACTGACTAAGAATGCCTAATGAAGTATAATTTACAATGTTATGAACTTCAAAAAAAAAAATGTGTGGGTGGATGCTATGATAAATAACACAAACTTCCTAACTTTCACACAATTTATGTATAACATATTATTACAATATTCATTATTACCTCACCAAAAGTATTGTATAAGCTTTAAGAACTCAATATGTATATATTCAAAACATGGTATACACTTTACAATGAACAGGGTGACTTTGTAGGAAGAGGAAGAAACCAATTAGTGGTGGTAGAGGTGCTTTCTGTTACCCGCTTTCAATACCCAGTTCTTAATGTCCTTCCACAGTGTTTCACGTGATTGATTAATCGACGGTCATTGGCCGCAGAAGTATTTTACGAGGCGGAGTTAAAAAGTCACTCGTCAAAGAAGGAAGTGGGTATAACTCAGAAATGGCTCTTCATATCAACCTTATGGTGGCTGTTGGAGTAAAAACTTCAGCTGAATTTATGTATTATTGCACTAGTGGCGGCAGTTTTTTTTTTTTCATTCCATTCCTCCACTATATAAGACGTTTGTTTGCCCCCCCCCCTCACTTTGTGTTCGTTATGTTATAGAAAACTTAATAATTTGTTTGTGTAAGGATGTGGCACCATCTATATATGTAGTTAACGTTAACGTGAAAGATAATAAATGTTCAATAACAGCAATATTGGGGGTGGAGAGAGTTTTAACCCTCCATTAAAGTACCCCTTGTTCCAAACTATCATCCCAAAAGTTTGGTTGAAATTGGCCCAGCAACCTAGGAGTAGTTAGATAACGGACAAATAGAGAGAAGGAAATATTTTTGTTGCTATATATATATATATATATAAGATCAAAGCTAGCCTCTAAGGTGTTTTTAGTATGAGTTTGGTTAATCAACAAAGTATCTGCTACTTTTCCAACGCAATAACCACCTTAGTTCAGTCGAAACAATTTTATTTGTTTCCTAATATAATACTATTTTTTCTTATTCTAATGGTTAGTAGAATATTATCGTCACACAGTTGTTTATTGCTACACGTTTTACTATGCTTGTTTGTTGCGGAAATTCCCACAAACCTACACCCTGATTTGGAAGTGATAGACCAAGAGGGAAGGCAGGTAGCCAAGAGAAATCACCGCCAACTCTTGGGCCACTCTAATCTAATAGTGGGATTTGACTGTTACTCTTATAAAGCACCCGTGGCCCCAAACTCCAGAGTGCGTTTTTGTGAAAATAGGCGAACTATGGACACTCAGATTCACAGTGCGGCACGCTAGACACTAAGCCACGCCCGGCCGGTTTGAATTATGCAAGTTTATAATTACTTTAATTACTTTTTATCTGTATCTATGTTTGAAACCATCCAGGTGTTACGACAGCCGAAGTCACGTGACCTAGTAACACGTCATGAGCTTCTAGAAAATTCATGTCCCTTCCTGAAGCCTCGAGAGTTTACTAGATGTACGGTATTCTTGTATATATAAGACCGGTAAGAAGTGAGGGCAACAATGGAATTGAATTCAGACAGAGATAGACACAACAATTGAGTCAAGCGCGTGAATCGTTCGTTCGTTGTGAATTATAGCGTTTGTTTAAGTTATAGCGTGACTGTGGAAATGAAATGTATTGCAAAGTTGTATTGAGAAAGAATAAACTAGTTTGATTTAAGAAAGGACTTGTATCGCTAAAGTTTCTTCGGAAATAATTTTTACGGAAAATTAACAAACGAACACAGAGACGTAACAAATTGGTGTCAGAAGTGGGATAAAAAAATGGAAACGAGAAGCGGCAAATCAAACTACAGCTTAGCAGATTTGATGGCACCAACACAAGAACAGCAAAAGAAACAAGAAGAACGAGAAAATAAACAAGAAAAGCAACAAGAAGAGAGATTACAACAGTTGTTGGAGGAAAAAGAAAAGAAATAAGAAGAACAAGAAAAGAAACAAGAAGAGAAATTACAACAGTTGTTGGGGGGAAAAGAAAAGAAACAAGAAGAACGAGAAAAGAAACAAGAAGAGAGATTACAGCAGTTGTTGGAGTAAAAAGAAAAGAAACAAGAAGAGAGATTACTGCAGTGGCAACTGGAGCAAGAAAGGAAACAAGAAGCACAAATGGAAAACATTAATAAATGTCAAAGCAAACAAAATGCATTAAAGGATGATTTATTGTCTTTTACACAAGGAGGTTACATTAACCATCGACCTAATCAGCCTCGGACAATGGGAAGCCCCTTCCAGACCCTGCAGCTAAACCCTAATGCAGACATCTTCAGTCCTGCTAGAAATGGCATTCTAGACACGAGTGTCAGCAATAGGGGTGAACTGGTACGAAGGAAGCCACAGGAATTCGATGGGAAGGCACCCAGGGAAGCATATAGAGCACAATTTGAGTTCCTAGCAGAAATGAATGGGTGGACAGAGGAGCAGAAAGCAGTATATCTGGCAACGAG